CTTGCAGATGCCAGAAACCTTGATATTTACCCATTCGAATAACATGCTGTCATGTTAAGTTATGCTCGAAATTATGAATATTCATAATTTCAGAATTTAAACTTCGCAATTTAATGTAATGTCCTTGAATTTGAACTATGCTTCATGATATTACTAATACAAGTGTCCATGACAATATGTCTGCGTAGTGTCTTCCGTTAATTAACTCACGATAGCATCAGAATAAAGAATTTCTAAGCTTTCTTCGGTTCCTTGATAAAGAAAGTGCTTGGTAATCGTTTTATCAAAATGGGTAAGTAATTTTCCAAAACAAAGGTGTTCCGAGGTCATGACCTCAGCTGATGACTGAAGCACTTTAACTTGACTGTTTGGCCAATCAACGGCCAGTATTTATTCCCAGGGGTTCCTGTGCGGAGCCTGGGACTCGTTCGAGAAGCCATTCACAACTTCATTACTTCATATACGAGTGAAATCGACATCTCCACTCCGCTCTTCGTGTTGCTTTTACGAGTAAATGAAAAGGTACGTGGTTTTTGTGTATATTCTTGATTTATTTCACTATTTGTATGTCTGCCTGTGCTATGGGGCTTTTGTATACTTTATTTCATGTAAATGTGGCGTTTCAGCTGTCTTTTCCCAGTTTAAAGGCAGACTGTCGCGTAGCTTTATACATTTTATACTATGTCAATTTCACATACGATTGTAAAATAGTTGTCCACACTTTCAACACCTTTGAGGTGTCTAAGACCAACACTTTCTTATTGTTTACAAAAGAGAAACTTATAGGGCATATCTTTTCGAGAGTAAGCCTGTTAGACACAAGGCAGCACAGCAAACCGCTTCGGCCTTCATTCATTTGACAGCTGTGTTTGGACTTGCGTGAAATTACTCAAAAATCATTAAAATTTTTTTGTGGTATAATAACTTTCAATCACAGACATGTCGACGCAGACCCAAGACATTAAAGCTAGAGTATCAATAACACCGTTGTCAAGAACAAAAATGTGATAGTGTAGTATTTTAATAATGAAAGGCTTCATATTGTATGCACGGTTTGACGTAAAATATCCTTGACAGCCGCCAAAGGCCAAGTGTATAAAAACAATGCTTGTGGCTTAATATTGAAAAACTAGTAAGCTTTATGGTTGTTTAAGTTAAGATAATATAAAAAATAGTCTAAAGATTGTTTCAGGATGCGTTTCAGTTTAGTATTGCGGATGCAAAGGTTGTAATTTGTGTGAACTGTACGTCATATGTGTATTTATATTAATCCCGTTGTCAGTTTACACGCTTGAAGAACTTGTCGTAAGTAAATAAACCTACTTTATTGGACTGAATCTGGGTTTTTTTCTTTATACAGCGCACACACCAGCCTTTGCAAGGCTAGCAAGGCTTTCTGCCTTGTCTATCTTCAAGAACTTCAAGCTTTCCGAACAGTACAACGTTGAGTTTGGCTGACTTTACACACTATAAACAGACGAGCGATGTTGAGACTTTTAACCAAGTTTAAAACACAGTCACTGAACGAAGTCAAACCATACGAGAGCAATGTAAGTTTGAATCGCTAAAATTCGCTTGGCTACCGAAATTGGTATTTCTAACCAAATATGAGTATAGGATGTTTCTTGTATTGTTTTCTTTTCGCTTTCATTCAGGGGTCACTCGTGTCAGCTGGTCATGGGGAAACACTAGATTCTGACGACGGGACACAGCAGCAAACGTGGCATCGTAAGTTTTAGGATAATTAACCTACTCAATACATTAAAATAGCTTTAAATCTTTTACAAATTAAAAGGCCATGTCTTTGTTTTGGGAACCATTGAGGCGCCAATAACTAGCTGTTGGAACAAGTTGTGAATGTTATATTGTGTTGTTTTTTTTCCTCGTAGAAGAGGTTAAGGCAGAGCTTGAAGACACAGACGACGCGTCGAAAGACCTAACTCGCACTCCTTTCCTCACACGCATGCCGAACGTACACGTACGAACACTTCATTTCGCAAACGAACCGATAAAAGAAGACGAAAGCCTTAAAAACGAGAATAAAGAAAATGGGGAAATGTTGACGGGACTAAACGGTCTGAATTTCCCTTCTCCGAGCAGAGGACTCTATGCCGAGAAACGAAAATGGTCCGATACAAAACGCTCTCGTTTTCCCAAACAAAACTTTTCTAGTGACAGTTCCTCTAGTGACGAAGAAGTAAAGGAATTGTTTTCTAAGCAACAGAAAAGCAATGGTTCTAGCACAAATAGCAACGAAGATAGACGACAAAAAACAAGCCCTGTTCGTAGCGCGAAAATTCGTCCTTCTGACAGTCACGCGCGAAAAAGACACCGAATGACTTCCCATGAAAGAATTTATAGCCGTCCTTCACTTGACTTCGAAAAAATGCAACAGGTACGCCAATTCTGGCTTTTATCTTTTTGAAACGCGAAATCATAAAGTTTTCTACCAAATGCATACGTTTCTGCCGAATAGCCAAGATAAATGTACTAATTTCAAAATACTCTTTTTAATTACGCATTTTTTAGACTTTTGACGTTTTATAGTATAAAAATAAATTTTTTTTATTTTCGGTCTTGCTGAGTTTATGACCGCATTGAATCACATTGTTTGAACCGAATTCAATCAGCAAGATAGATTGACCATTATAATTTACATTCTTTTGTGTGCCTCTTGGCTTGATCCCTGTCGGATTAGGTCTTGATATCTCATAATTGCCAATTCTTCAAAACACGTATCAACGCGCGATAAAATATTTAGCCGATGGCCCTTTGTATACTATCTTAATATTTTGAACATTTCAGACATTGTGCCCAATAACTTAATTAATATAGTGAGTCATATTCTACTGCTTTTTACTATACTTGCTTTTAACTCCTTAAGTACTAGGCCTTATTTACGCATTATTTTTTATAAAGTTTTGCTGGAAAATTTATCGTAACCATGGCTTAAGTAAACATACGGAAAAATTGTATTATAAAGTGCTAAAAATCTCGAATTTCTGTTAAATTTCTGTTGATTGATGGCTTATTTTCTGCCTAGTGATAAAGCAAATCATTCATTATTAAAAGCCCTTTCAAAATTTTTGCTGCAAATCGTTTAGTATACTTTGCGTTGCGAATATTTCTATGACTATGGACCCTATGATATAAAGGTTTCTATGCCTGTACTATATGCAGGTTTCTGCATGCATGTTTGTGTAGGAGTTTTGTGTGATACCTTTTACCCAAATGTGTTCCTTCCTGCCTAGTTGCATAAACGCCCACATTTATATTACAGTTTTTCTAAGAGCTAAATTTATCGTGAAGCGCAAAGTCTGCCAAAGAAGGAACTTCAAAAAGGCAGGAAAAAGATGCTTGCGCGGTGCATGCAAATTTAATAAATACGCAGGCGTTGGAAGAATGTTGCGCACCAGGTGCGAGGTGGTCTCCCGATAATAAAATCTGCAGCCTGTGGAAATGTTTAAAAATATGGTATACACTTAACAAGCAGCGCTTTTGTGGTAACTATTTTTCCCATAACTTATTACAAATAGTTTTTGAGAATTGGTCGGTATGAAGTAAGCGTTGACAAACATATCATATGGCAGTTACCGCTCTTAACCCTTACTGGAGCAATTTCTATTTGTTTTTCTCCAAATATTATGCAAGGGGTATAAAAAAGTGTTCCAAAATATCCACTAAACTGAAAATTCCGCAAAATTTGTGAAACTTTGTGTTAGTATGGGCAGCTTGTGGGGTATAGTCTGGTATCATTGCCACAAAATTATTCTAAAAAGGAAATCTTCGAGTGCGGCAGGTTGTTTTGCAAAACCACTTAAAAATGGCGTGCGCACAAAAATGGAAGGTTTGAAACGCAAATTGAAATTATTGGATCTAAATTTGGAAGGTGTTTTGTGAACTATCAAAGTACTAACCAATTTGATGTACCGATTACGCCAGTTACGCGCGACCTCTAAAACTTGTTTTTTTTGCCATAGCAACCTTTCGCTGTGCCACAGCCCTGCTCAAATATTTACTTTTCAAAATAATTTTGTAGTAGAGATATCAGACGATCCCAAACTACTCATGCTAACACAAAGTTGTCAATAAAAGTATCGATATCGCGGAATTTTCTGTCAGTTAATGAAATTCTAGAACTGTACACCTTTTTTTATAATGAGAAGAATGAACATTTTCTCACTGTGATGACTACAGGCTGATCGCCATCTGCTGCAAATAGAGCTTATTAAAACACCGATACCCACGATCTTTTCACGAAAAACACTGTGTTACTTTAACCTCAATTGAACTAAATTGAAATGAAAGGTATATGTCGGCTGTTAAAGAGCTGAATTCATCGCGTAATCCAGTTAGGATACCTCAATTGCTCTATATTTTCATTAGAATTACCCCTCCTTAGTAGGGGGTTAATGAAAGAAGTCATGTAGGTAAATAAAATTTAATGAATTTCGCATGCTTTATTACAGAAGGTGTTCTGGAAACGAAGCACGTACGGAGCCTCCAGACCGCGTATTGTTAAAGTCCGGGTAAGCTTTGCCTTGTTTAGACCAGGGATGGATTTACTGGGGGGGTGCTATTTTTCATGATAAAGCAAAAAATTATCAGAGACAAAATGAGATTCAGTAATTTGAGTAATAACATGATGATAAGCGAACTGTGAGCAACAATTACAATTCAAATAATGTAGTCAAGCTAGACTTTGCAGTAGTTAAGCAAGTTGATGAATGTGTAAAGTCACTGGAAAGCAATTGCAATGTACTCGTCCGGAAAATTTTTTTCCCTAAAAAGTTGTCGATGGGGGGGGGAGAGGTTGTTGCTCTTCGAAAATTTTTTTTGGCAGAGCACTCCCCACCAGACCATGCTGGATCCATCCCTGGTTTAGACAATGCAAAATCCTCAATTGTCTGAAAATCCGAAATTGTTTGCCCAGAGGTTTACAAGTGATTTATGATACTTTGCTGGTGTTAATCTTTTGTTTAAATTGTCTCAGAATTGTGTGCAGGACAGCCACATATTGGACTGCCTGATTCAACGTTAATGACTTAATATAAATGAGTGGGGGGTTCTAATCCCATTTTCCTAGGCAAAGTATTGTCTAAATCCCAGTCAACTGACTAACTGGTTTGCAAAATGAGGGTCTTCCAGGGGTTTCTAGGGAACAATGCCAAAAAATATAGGGAACAAGGAAGCATGTACAGTAAGCTTGGGGAAACAAGGGAACATGATGAAATCTTTGTGGGGGAACAAGGGAACATGTAAGCTGGGGAAACAAGGGAACATTGTGAAATCTTTGTGGTGGAACAAGGAAACCTATACAGTAAGCTTGGGGAAACAAGGGAACATGATGAAATCTTCGTGGGGGAACAAGGGAACATGTAAGCTGGGGGAAACAAGGGAACATGGTGAATCTTCGTGGGAGAACAAGGGAACATGTAAGCTGGGGGAAACAAGGGAACATGGGTGAATCTTTGTGAGGAACAAGGGAACAAAGAAAAAATTTCCATAGGGGCAAAGGAACATTGCCAAAAATGCTGGTGAAAAGTTCATTCCCAGTGGTTTAAATCCCGTTTTCCCAGTGAAAAAGATACGCAAATCCCACCTCCCATTTCACCCGGCCTTTACGACGCTTTGTGGTAGTTTACCAGAATCCTTGTTTGCCCTGAGTCTGCAATTCACGTGTGATTTATGGTACTTAATTTGCTGGCTTGTTTAAATTGCCTTGGAGAATCTGTTATAGCTTGGTGTTCAGAAAATTTCAGAAACCTCAGAAAAACAAATTGTTTGCCTAGAGATTTAGGTGTGATTTATGGTATTTTGCTGGTACTAATCTTTTGTGTAAATTGCCTCGGAGATTTGCAGAACACTCTCATAATGTTCTCCCTGATTAACCATTATGACTTTAGCTTGGGTGTGTTGACAACGCCGGAAACTTCGCAAAGTATTTACCCCGAGATTTATCAAACGAGGATCGGAGGATGAGAGTTGGCACTCATGCGATCTTGGTTAGCTGTTCTCAATGCTTTCCCAACACTATTATGTATTTTAGTTCAGTTAAAACGGACTTGATACACACTCATCAAACCAGTTTATTTTGTTAATCTATAGAGCTTGAAATTCCCCAACTCTCATTCCCGTTTAATCGGAGCTTTACGTGTGATTTATAGTACTGACATTAATCTTTTGTTTAAATTGCCTCAGAGTTTTGCAGGATACTCGCATAATCTCGATGCATCTGTGATGACATTCCAACCAATCCAAGGGATTCAGGCATTTAAACTACCCCCTGTGGAGGAGACAAGATCACTTGCTTACTAGAACTCGATGTATCCCACATGTAAGTCATTGTATCCGGCAGTTTTAAGGGTTGGGGAATTGATAACTCCTCGCCCTAAATTGTAACGTTTGATCAATGCATTTTCGTGTTAGGCCATTTTCGTCGACATTTTCTATCTTTATTACTTCTCAAACTTAATATCAATAATTTATGAGCAAACAACACAAAGTCAATAATTAGTAGTGTTGCTATGATATACCACAGTAATAAACGTCCATCCCTATCAATATAGGGAATTTCAGTAAGCTGGTTAGAAGAGGCATCACATGTTTTTCAACTTCAGAAATGCTGACATCTGTATAGGAGCAAAGAAATTTAACTATATTTTTCATATCATGATAAAATTCAATCTCGGCGTAAGACAATCTCGACTTGCAAAACACGTTTGGAATTTTTAACCAATAAGTAATTATATGTGGCACTGACAAAAAATTTCCTGCAAGGCATCAGAAAATTTCATGCAAATATATTTTGTTAAAATTTCCTGGCTGCTGGCGCTGCCTCGGACATTTTTCAGCACTGGACTACTGCATATAATGAAAATAATTTAGTACCTTCTCATTCTGTTGTAACTGGCATTCGACTATACCATCTCCTGCGTGATAGTGCTTATAGTGAAGCCCAGCTTTGTAACTAACCCACCTATTAACGAATTTCTCGCTATTTCAGATCCCTGCAGCAAAAAACAAGATTGGGATATATAGGAGTAAAATCTAAAAGATTTCTTGCAGCAGATTTCATATTATGTTGTTTGCACACTGTTTTCTATATGGTCTGCAGTTCATTGTCACTTTTTGGTGAAATGTTTCACGATGGCACACACATTTTACAAATATACAAAACACCATAGAGCACACCTGGCTGTGTGTTTTGAAATACTCGTGAAGCAAAATCATGAGAGCTTGGGATGTCAGTTATTGAGATGTCATATCGTTCCTTTCCTATAATGTGGAATAGTTGAACCAATCATAATTTCCACGTGCTGAAGAATTAGCACAATCGAGATAATATTTTCAGCAGAGACTGAGTCACAACTTGTCTAAGTTATCTTCATTCCAACCGTATATCAGTACACGTCAGTTTCACCTGTACGAAACTTGCACAAACCTAAGTGCTGTTAACAAAGATACTATGAACCTTGTTTTTTGAATGCACGATAAGCCTCTTATTTGCTTCACCAGTAGCCTGGATGTTGTGAGATCTAGTTTAGATAAATGAGATTGATTTTGATAAGTCTGGACACTTGTCAGGCTGCTGTGCAGTGCTCATTAGCATTTGATTCATCCATATCGATACAAAACACATAGCCAGGTGTTGTTTTTTTACACTGTCTTTGCACAGATGTATAACCAAAAACATTAAAAATGGAAAATATCCGGTAACAAGTTACTGCTGTCAAAGCAAACTTTATAATAAAACCGAAATTGTAATGAAACCTATAACTTTCATCGGCTTGATTCTTACAACGTTTTTGCAACAACAACAAACAACTTTATATATCAAGGATAACAAGAAACAGAATTACAACAGAAAAACCTGCTGTTTTCAATTTGTTACGTATTGTTAGGAATGTGTATTTTATCATCAGCTGCAACAGTTTAAGATTAATCCGTTCCGTATTAATTTACATACCAGCTGTGACTTTAGTTGGGTTTAAAGGTTTGTTTACATGCACTCTCAAAGTTTTTGTGAGCACAGCAGGAATTTTGCATTGAAGGATTTGTAAGTAATGTTTGAGGAAACTGACTAAGTGTTAAACACGGAGTCAATAGCCGGTTCCCCTTATTGCGTATTCTGAATACAACTACCAGCATGCGGACGTGTTATTGCATAATGAAGAAAATACCCGCAAAGTATCATGGTATAGTTGTATTCAGAATACGTAATAAGGGGAACCGGCTATCCCCTCGAACATTGCTTACAAATCCTTCAAAACTTGGAATTTACCTATACAAAAAATTCCTACTGTCATCACTGAAATTTCGATAGTGTAGCCTTAAAACACTGTGCGATTGAAAAAAGTACGGCAAACTTTTAGCCTGCATAAAAAACGTTCAAAATGAATAAAATTATAGAAATATTGGGAATATTTTTTAAACCGAAAGTTTAAAAAATGTTCTCAATGTATTCTGAATTATTGCTTGCATTCTAAACTACACAAGTCAGAGTTTCGAGACGATTTTTACTTTGTTACATATCAATTGAAATTAGAAAGTTAAAACCATGTTATATAATGGAAATTAGAATGTTATAGAAGGATTTAATATACTAAATATGAATTATTTTTAATCATGTGTATTTAGTGTTTGTTCTCATATTGAGAACATTATTGATTGTATTATTGATCATATTATTGATTGATCATATATCAGCTTGTATTATTCGCACAAAGTATTTATATATATCTGCTGCATGTTTTATATTTAAAAGTATACTAGAAGAGTGTTATACAGCATTTGTATAAGTCCAGGGTTCTCACTGACTTTGCAGTGTCGTATAGATATATATTTATAAAGTTTAAAAAAGGAAGTTGTAATATATTATGCAACTGTTGTAACAAGATTTTGAATTAAACGATTTCTGTAAAATTTGTGTGTTCTCTTTTTGGACTTCGTTCACTCGAATTCATGCGATTTCATGCGTATCGTGTGAAGAATGTGAACACAGGCTATAAAAAACTTTAATAATTCAGGAGGAAAACACAAAGAAAAATCATAAGCGTGTCGTATCTTTATATGTGATAAAAAATCATGTTAATTTACATAAACTTTACTTTGATTTTCTCGGTTTAGACAAAGTTTATTTTAAAAATTACTTCGCCAATGTCAATGAACTCATATAAGATGAGTCGTTTTTTAAGCCATTTAAAGCACGCGTAGGAGTGTTTTATCAGATATAAAGCCTCGCGTTTTATATCTGATAAAACACTCCTACGCGTGCTTTAAATAGTACATAAAGGGCGCCTTTCAGCATGCAGTTCAAAGCAACGGGTTTGTGGCTATAAATGGGTTTGTGGCTATAAAGTATGCCTGCCGGTTTTCGGCTTATCATATAGCCAGGGTTTGTGACTGTTTGCAGCATTTGGCTACATAAAAATGCAGTGTGCTGTCCGTTTCATAGGCAGTATCGGGAGGTATGAAGTATGAACTATAGCAGTTTATGGGCATTGGTACATAAAAATGCAGTATACCATTACTTTATTATCGTGGATGTAAAGTATACCGTTCAAATTAGTGGCTGTCAATTTGTGCTCGACCTTTGTGATCGTGTCATACAAGCACTCGGTCTGTGCCTCGTGTCAATATATGCACTTTCCGGTATTTTAAATTACTGACAAATTTACTTGGGCTTGCTGTGTAGGCGTTGTTGCTTTGGAAACCATGGCGAAAATAAGCCAACATGGCGGCAAAAAATGAGTAATAGAAATTTACTTTTCAAAATAAAGACTAAACAAGTCTAATTTCTACGTTGTTCTCACTTGAGATATACAGAATCTGCACTATGAATAGTATCAACTTGTTGACCACTGAAGAAAAAGGTAGATAATGCCCGAAATTTTATCTGTTTATATTTATATGTTGTAAAACTGTTTACTGTTTTTAATAATAATAGTGTTGTTTATATACTTTTCCTGTCGTACTGTAATTTAATTTATATTATACATTGTTCATATCATTATCCATCTTTTATATTTGTTCATTTTGTAATACCCTGATTTTCTGCTGTGTTTTAATAATTTAAATGGTCTTAAGTATGTCAATTTTTTCTCATCTCACAAATGTTGGTTAAAACTTGTAATTGTTATACAGAACAGTCCAAAATCAATCCTTCAGTTTTGGCATTTGAACAAGAATTGGAAAACATTTTGCTCAAGTTTGCCAAACGTAACTCAAGTGGAGATGGTTATCAAGTTAAGGATGATATTGGGAAAAGGTTATAATTGTGTACAGTACTAGTATTAATTAAATTGACTTGGACCAAGGGAAATAGTATGCCAATGTTTCCCAAGGCAATTAATTGGGCAAAGCTGAGGGAAACATTGGCAGTTCAGAGTCCACAAAAGATGCTCTTTCCCAAAAGTCTGTCAATAAATAATTTTAATATATTGAGTGAAGGCCCTTTGTTAGGAAGTTAGGAATATTTAATTGGCAATATAAATACATTTATACAATTATACAGTATAAGTAACTTGCATCTAAATATATGAACAATTAAAGATAAATATATGAAGCATTGTCTATTCTGATAAGAATAGTAGGTTTTTGGGCAATTTTACTCGATATAACTAATTGATTCCGTCAACAATTAGTTATATTGAATGAGATGCCAAATATTCTGGTATTTACCCATACATTATACATTTGCATCACCTTAGTATTTTATTACATGATTTTGGGGTTAGAGCTCAACAGCTGTCTGTCTATAGCTCAGTTGGTCAGAGTGCTGCACCAGAATTGGAGGACTGCAGGTTTAGTTCCTGCCAGAGAGCTGTTTAATAGTTGCATTTTTGGCAACTGCTCCTTGTTAGGTCTGATAAATGTATATAAAAATTCCACTCATTCAACAATACACCCTTTCGATAGTTATGGCATTTAGCCTGGGAGCCTCGCTCTCATGAATACTGAGCCAGTCACCTTGCATAATTTACTAATGAGAGCGAGGCTCCAAGACCAAAAAGTATGTGTGATCTAATTATCGAAAGGGTGTATTGGTAAGAATATTTCCAAGTGCAACTTGCAGTTTGTAACAACCATAATAAATGGACCATTTGCATTATAGACTAAATTTTTATCTAAACAAGTCTAGACAAAAATTTCATCAAAGCTAGAAAGAGCATCACAAAATTAGTAATATTCCAAATGTGAAATGTTGTAAAATGCGGATAATATAGACATGCGAAGTTTGTCGTTTTTCAGTCATTTTGTATTACGCATGGGGGAAATTGGCAGCCCAATCGGGTGTTGGGGCATGAATTTCCCGTTTGTAATACCAAATGACTGAAAATTGCAAATTCGATCGCAAGGCTATATTATCCGCATTTTACAACATTTTGCAACAAAACTTTGGAATATTACTAATTTTGTGATGCTCTTTCAAGCTGTGACGAAATTTTTGTCTGGACCAAAATTTAGTCTATAATGCAAATGGTCCATTAGCTCAGCCAATATTCTTAAATCTCTACCTTGAATGTAAGCTATAATATTTTTTTTAGAAAACTTGATTTCTCAAAGCTTTTTAAGGAGTTCAAACCTCGTCTCCAGCATCAGTATTTTGTAGAGAAACTCATGCAGATTGGAAGCTTTTTGTATTCAATAAAGGTTTGTCATCATGCAGAAAGTGATGTGTGTGCATTTTGGACAGTATTATTTAGTGTTATTCCCTCTGTTAAAACCTCATGAATTGATGCACTACTTTCTTAATAGGCATTTCAGTTGGCAAAATTCCAATGTTTTACTCGTTATCTGCAAGAAGTATCATCTGACTTCACATGTATTGAGTCTGTTGCTGAAAATAATTTTCAAACATTTCAAGAAAGGTTCTTTCCAAATGGCTTAGATGATGCACAGGCAGTTGACACTGTAAGCCCTAATAATCTATGCATTGCTTTTTAATTTAAAATTCATGCATTGTAATCATAGTATGATGATGATTGATGATGGTGGTGATGTTGGTGATGGTGGTAATGATGATGGTGGTAATGATGATGATGGTGGTGATGATGGTGTGATGATGGTGTGATGTTGGTGATGATGGTGGTGATTGATGTTGGTGATGGTGATGAAGGTGCATGGCAGTTGTGATGATGTGGTGGTGGTGATGATGATGGTGATAATAGTGATTGCATGGTGGTGGACTTGTGGTGATGATGGTGTAATGCTGGTGCTGATGATGGTGGTAATGATGGTGATGATGATGTTGAGATTGTAATAATGGTAGTGGTGATGATGATGGTGATAATAGTGATTGCATGGTGGTGGACTTGTGGTGATGATGGTGTAATGCTGGTGCTGATGATGGTGGTAATGATGGTGATGATGATGTTGAGATTGTAATAATGGTAGTGGTGATGATGATGGTGATAATAGTGATTGCATGGTGGTGGACTTGTGGTGATGATGGTGTAATGCTGGTGCTGATGATGGTGGTAATGATGGTGATGATGATGTTGAGATTGTAATAATGGTAGTGGTGATGATGATGGTGATAATAGTGATTGCATGGTGGTGGACTTGTGGTGATGATGGTGTAATGCTGGTGCTGATGATGGTGGTAATGATGGTGATGATGATGTTGAGATTGTAATAATGGTAGTGGTGATGTTGGTGGTGATAGTCATGGTAAAAGTGATGGTAATGATGATGATCAAATGTTTGCATTACTTTATTCTAACTTAGATCAAAGTTCTTTATGAAGACACAATGTGCTCTTATGAACTGCTAACAGTATGGGATCCTAAACTTCAGGTAGGTAATAAGAGTTGGGATCTTCTAAAGTTCTCTCGTATATTTTTCCAGGCACTGTTTTACGAACTGAATGTACCTCAATCTGTTAATTGCGACATCATGTAATAATTGCTGATAATTTTAGAACACAGACTCTGTCCATCGATGTTTGAAACTTCTGAAGATTCTCATGCTTACAACTCAACTGGCATTGCATCAAGAATCATTTAGTTGGCTTGTGTACAATGGTATGATATATGTTACATTCTATGGCATTAACGGTTTTAATGTACATTTTTTACATCAAATTATAAAGTTTCTTGTGCGTTAGCGGATTAAAATAGTTAAAGCATACATGAATGGATGCCATGCATACGTAGAAAAATTAAAACTGTCAGCGAAGTTCTTCACCTCATCACACAGAGTCTTCCTGGTGTATAATCAGGGCTTGAAAATAACGTTCCCAAAGTTCCCGATCATGGTGATCAGCAGTCATGACTTTCCTGCTTTTTCAGGTTGGAAACCCTGCTTTTCCGCCGATCATAAGCAATTTTTTGCCGATCATTGATCGATCGGATCGGCTGTTATTTCAAGCTCTGCTGTATTATTCTCATTCAGGTACCATTCATATTTACACAATCTCGCGACAACTGATGGTAACTGGCCGAAGCAGCATGGTAGGTTTTAAAAAATTCTCGGATATTTACTTGAATTGATAAAAACTATATCTTCATATCTCTGAGAATGAATCTTATTCAGTATATCACACGATCTTTTTTAGATTCTAGAATACATGCTGTGGGCATGTATGTGTATGGAAGGTTCAATTCCTTTGCTCACGTTGAAATACATTCCTTGGAGAAGCACACTGTACGCTACAGTATCCCTCTGTTACCTCGACTGTAAGGAATCTCAACACGCAGAGACATTCGCTCGCCGTGCCATGAAGAAAATCACGGAACTCGCAGACATTGAAGAAATAAGTACATCCGTTTCGACTCCTGAAACTAAGGCAATATTCCAGGCTGCTAAAGTTAAGATTAATGTTCTAATTTATCAACGTGTCGTGTTCGAATCTCGTAAGCGACCTAAAGGATTGTTACGACCCAAAATGCGAGCTCCTCTAAGAGAAGCTTTGCATGTAAGTCTGTCTGTGATAATTAGGTTACTAACTATGTTTTTGCTGAAATTATGTCTTTTCCATCAGTCAGTCAGTGAGTTGGTTGGTTCGTCGGTTTTGCAGCCAACCATCCAATCATTGAGTCAGTGCATTGATTTTTAATTTTTTTTTTTTTGCAGTCCAACTGGCCGAGAAACCAGACAGAGAGGCTGTTAGCAGATCTATTTGATGGCATTGCTGCCCAGTTCCTTGCAATCCTACAGACCCTGGGTGTCCCCCACCGTCGTACTCTGCAATGCAAGGCACCCACTGGATCTATTGATGACATCACACTAGATATTTACCCAGAACTCTTTGTGGCCGGTGTGGATTTAATCTCCGGTAGCAACAATGGCCGGTTATCACATTTCGATCCTGAGGTCCACCCTTCCTGTATTGAACTGTCCAGTGCGTCACTTCTTGATTTATCTGAGCAAGGTATTATCTCCATATTAATTCATGCGATTGTCGACCGTCCTTTGGTATTCGCGAGACAGTTACGGATTGAGAGACTTACAATTATCTGAAAAATATAAACAGAACTTCTACGTTAAGGCCCTTCCCAACGAAGGAACTTAGGGACTGTTTGCATGATCCTGCTTTGCCGGGGGGAAGTCACGGTTCATGATTCACAAAACTACATTATTTTTGTAGTGATAGATTACAATATAATTGTAAACAAAAGGTTGTTCAAGCAGCAGTTCAATCTTCTTGAACTACGAGATCTTCTCGACAACATTTGACTTCTTTTAACCGTCGTTTGAACTTTCGTTTGAGGTAACTTATTTCAATACATCAAAATCATCCCACCTTCCATCTTGTTGGCCATTTAGACCATGTACAATATGGTCTTGCACACTTTCTATGAGTATACGAGGTATTTTTAAATTTTTTGTCACTGTTTTTTTCATCAATTCTGTAGGAGTTGATGGCATTCCCCTTCCGTTCGTGGTGAAATTCATTAAACTAGCTTTCAGTTATGAACAATGGGAGGTCATTGAGGTCATACTGCAACCATTCATGGCATTACTTAGGACACAAGCACAGGTTGTCCAAACGCCTGCCTATATCATGTCCTTGCAGCTCTTGGCTGCCATGGAGCCGTTCTTTAATACAGCTGGTCGGAAACAGAAGAAAGGAGTAACTTCTAATGAAAACACTGTAAATGAAAATTCACACGGTAGGTGAAAGGGTTATGGTAAGCATTTCAGACGTTGGTCAACTTGGGAGTGTTGGAACTCATATGTTGTTTTTCAAAATTAGGTAATAAAGGCAATACATCCCCTGCAGACGAGCTTTTGGTTGTGGCAAATATTCTTAACGGGTTTTCGAGTGAGCTTCCGAAGGTATGTTTCTGACATACGATTTTCAGTGAAAGGACGGTTCAAAATGGACATTGGGGTGTTGATGACATCATAGAAGGATTTTCTGGGGGTGCAGGGTCTACATCATAGAAGGATTTTCTGGGGGTGCACCCTACCTCTGCCCCCATTAGCGACTGTACCCCCCAGACCCCTGCTGCAGCTTGCTCGGCAGCGCTACGCGCCCCCCTCCTCGCTTACCTCCACCCAGAATTTTCGGCACCCCCCCCCCAATTGAAATTTGAAAATCCGTCTATGGATGACATAGTGCTCCAGTTTGACTTCACCAAACACCGCACGTATTCTTCTGGTTAGCTCCGGTTTCCTTCAGTTCAGAGCTGATAGAGCTGACCATCATAAATAAAGTTAGTTAGTTCATGTATCCACATGTGTATTTCCCCTAGTTTTCAAAATACTGCTTAATATTAGACTACGACATAGTCTCCACGAGCGTGACGCAGCCAACTTAATATCTAATCCGTTGTTATGCGTTTCAGTCTTCGTTGCCATACGTAGATGTGGATATGATCATTGATGCCACGTTGTTTCTTTGGAATCGTTGTAAACCGTACTTTCAACGAGTCGTGTCTTGCAATCAAGAAAGTTGTCGTCATGTTCTGAATGATAAGGATTGTGATAAGGTAATTTCCGCCCTTACTTATCCAACCCTACTGTCTTCACTCTAAAAACACTGCGGGTTTTCTAGTTTTCTATGGGTAGTAGTGACACTTTATTAGGATATGTTCCTAACTGGAACTGGTAGAGCTATGTACATAAATAAAGTTAGTTAGCTCAGGTTTTATTCTGCACATAGGCGTTCAAGAGGGACGCTTGTGGACTGCAACCCCCCCCCCCCCCTGAACAAAACAGGTACAATTATCTGTTATAAAAAAGATTAGTCATTTAGTTCAAATCAAACGTAAAGATGCCATCCGCGTTGTGCAACTGTTGTCATGTTTTTACTTTAGTGGCTGTTTATTCTCCTTACAATTGACAACGTGCTACATTGGAGTGGTTTGTCAGACGTTGATCCCGTCGTTGCTGCTGAAGTTGCCTTGAAACTTGCTCTGGTTTTGGAATGCAGGGCATCGTTTATAGCTCGAGCGAACAACGCTCCTGCTTTGCCCAAAATGGTAAGAATAAGCACCTATCAGAGTATGGAATAATGCAGGGCTGCCGAGATGGGGGGCAGGGGGGGGGGATTGCCCCGGGCCCCCACCTTAATAGGGCCCCAACTTGAGAGCGAGAGCCTGAAATTGAGTAGGTTCTTTAAATTGGTCAGAGCATTTTTTACATTGAGGGACCCTTACAGTACCTCCACATGCAGTCTAGTTGGGTCTAGCTTAAAAATAATGATGTCATGGGTTATCGTCTTGTAACAAGGTTGATGAGGCCAACAGACTGGCAACAAGTTGTTCCAACAAGTCTGATATCGTCTGCACGTAACAAGTTGTTGATGATAACAAGCTCGTAGCAACTTGTTGCGAACAACCTGTATTAGATTTGTTGGGATCGACAAGTGATAGAATGATGACAACTTGTTCCAGACTTGTCGCAACAACTGGGAACAAGCAGTGCGGACACATTCTAATATCGGCTTGATAACAACCTTGTTACGACGTGTTTGCAGATCGGTAACAACTTGCGCGTTTTGCGTGTGTACCAGTAGCTCATTCGTTCTTTATTTTTATATGTAGCCACAAGTAAACGAGGCAGTAAATTTCGAGCAAGCCAAAACTGAAGAGAATGCAGAGGCAAAAACCGAGGAAGTTCAAACTGAGAGTGAACCTTATAAAGTTGTTTTTCCTAATACCTTTCTTGATCTACTATACATGGCGTTTAATATCCTTGAGTCAAGTGTCGAGAGAGTCAGTGAAGCGAGGGAAAAAATGGCAAAACTATCTGGCGGTGAATCTGTTGATAATAATAAGGTTTGGTTACGAAACTTTTAGTTTTTTTACGAAAGTATGGTATTGGTGTTTTTTATGGTGGTATGATGGTGGTGGCGATGATGGTGTGGGTGGTGATGTGATAGTGCTGGTAATAATTATGGTGGTAGTGGTGGTGGTAATGGTGTTGGTGTTGGTGGTGACAATGATGGTGATACTGTTGTTGGTGGTGGTAGATGATGGTTATGGTGGTGACAGTGGTAATGGTTACAGTAGTAGTGGTGGTAATGATCATGGTAGTGGTGGTAATGATGGTGGTATTAAATGGTTGTGGTGACGATCATGGTGATACTGTTGTAAGTGTTGGTGGTGGTTAAACGCTTCCATGAAAATGTACATGCATGTACTCAAATTTTGCGCTACTCTCATTTAGACAAGCCAAAATTCACCAGAAGCACAAGAGGGTCGCGATAAACCTCAAAATTGTTCAAAAAACGACATTGACATCCAAATCATCCATTTGGAGCTATTGTTTAATTTAACACGAGTGCTTGCGAAGCTGAAAAGCGGACGAAGTGATTCCGAGATGACATTAGGTTTAGACAAGACTAAGAGTTCTTCAACTATGTCACGATTTCAAGTTGAAAGTTCCAAATCACAGGACACTTCTTGGACAGCTGATATGGTAAAGAGATACAACAAACTTCCATTGACAAGAGCGCTACTTCTCATGCACATAACGCAAATTCAAGACACTGCAAGTGAAACTGCACAGCAAAACCTTCAGGTAAGAGTATCCTGGGAACAATGTCATAATTTGTTAAGAAGTTGTGTTACCACTTACCATTGCCGTAGTTTGTGTCTAAACTACACTGTATGTTGAATTGTGAAATAACTAGACTATCGCCTGTATTCTGAAAGCTCACTCACACTCAAAGAGTAGAGGTTCAATCTGAGCTTCTCCCGAGTGTCAGTGCTGTTTTTGACTAGCTGGATGGCTGGCAGTCAAAAGGTTAGTTACGACACTAACCCTTCGGCTATTCAAAAACAGCATTGACACTCAAGAAAAGCTCAGATTGAACCTCCACTCTTTGAGTGTGAGCGTGAGTGAGCTTTTAGAATACAGGCGTAAATATTTCATGGGGTAAATACGAACCTAAAATTAATATAATTTTGTGATTGGCTTTCTTAAACAAAAGAATCACGAAATCTTTTCGTACAGATAAGGTTGGTGGCGTCCCGGTGTTTTTTTTGTGAAAACACCAGTTTCCAATATACGTGGTGGTTCCATAAATCTGGTTTCAATAAGCATTACAGGACAGCAAATGGCTCTATAGGCAAAGTGACGAACTTTCCAGAAGGGTGTATTCTATAAATTTGCCTCCATATACAAGACTGCTTCATATAATGAAGAAACTTAACATTATTCCTTACTTTGATCACTGTCGATTGACTATCATCCGCTGATAGTGCTCTGTGACACCCACAATGTAAACAATAAACGATTTTTTTTACAAACGATTTTTCAACTTCTATTCCAAAGGAATGTTACGATATAATCAAGAAATCTCAAACACAGGAGAAAGTGTTAGCGTCAAGATGCAAGACTCATAATTCTGAAAACGCAGAAGCCATGGCTGTTCCACCTCCTCCCATCTTAATCTTTCGCAGTTCATCGGGACTAACTTTAAAACCAGCGCCGTTTAAACCTCTGTGCCAGAAGAAGGTAATAATAAGTGATATATACTGTATATTTGAATATTTGAAATAAACTAAACTAAGTTTATTTATCCTAGATAGCTCTATTAGTTCTAAACTATTTTCAGTAAGTGCCTTCCTTTATTAGTCGAGTATTACCACAGGAGCAAACCAGAGTACTCAGAGAACAGGGACTCTCTCCTCCGCAGAGGCTTTAGTTTTTTTAGGATTTAATATTACGATGAGATACATTTCACTACACTTTACATGGCGGATCTTGGAACACGAGCGTAGCCGCTGGGCGAAGGAGCGCAGGCGGCAAAGGGAAAGGCGAAGGAATGCGCGGAACAGGGATGTATCCGCCAAGATCTGGTAGAGGAGGGGGGTGCTCATCGACCCATGGTCATGGTAATAATTTGGAGATACGCACAGCAGTGTTCTGTAGAATGAGCGAAACATTGTCCCCGGAAGGGTTCGGGGGCATAATTGTGCAATGGTGACTGGATATTGACTTTCCAAATTGAAAAAAGTCAATGTGAAAATGAAATTGCACTCCCCTTTGCCAAGGCTAACAGGAGTGCGCACCTCCCCCTCCCCGCACCGCAACCCCACTCCCCCAGTAAATCCATCCCTGGCAGAGAAACGAGAGTTACCATGCATCAAACTGAAATTAATCAGACAACTGCATGCTGCAGAATTCGAAGCCCAGACCAAGAGGTGAAAGAAACATGCACCAAGCTAGCATGCCAACAACTATACATAATTTCGTTATTTTCTCTAGGTATACTGGTATCGTTTATTTGGTTGTTCTGCAAGCGGCAGTAATGTGAAAGTAAGATTGAATGACTCTGATCTCGTTGGAACTGGAATAGAGGTGGGTCATAGTTCTCTGTTTCTTGGTGATGATGGTGGTGGCGGGATGATGGTGGTGGTGGGATGATGGTGGTGGTTGTGGTGGTGGTGGTGATGATGGTGATGGTGGCATGGTGATACGAAAGCTACGGATTGATAGAGGGATACAACTACCTGAAAAATGCAAGGACAACCTCGACGTTTCGAGCAAAGGCCCTTCGTCAAGAAGTTGTAGTTTCGACGAAGGCCTTCGCTCGAGACATCGAAGTTCTCCTTCTATTTTCCAGGTAGTTGTATCCCTCTATCAATCCTCAGCTTTCTTATCATTGGCACTAACTACACTAGCACATACCGTTCGTGATGATGATACCACAGAATAGTGGCAAGCAGAAGATCAACTTCTTGGATTTTCCCCGGTTTTTCCTATGATTTTGGCTAGGACCATGGCGTCAGCATTTTGATGACGAATCATGGCGTGGCAGCAGTTACGCTTTTTTTGCTGAGTCGACCTTTTGTGTGTCTTTATTCTGTGATGATACTGCAGGAATCAAACCCTGATCGGAGAGGTGGAAGACACATGCACTAAGTGCCATCACATCTCCAATTCTTGTATTTCTAGGTGCCAGCAGGTCCAAACTGCAGATTTTATGTCACGAATCTTGGTGAAGGAGAAAGATATGTGTTTGCTGTTGCAGCATATGACAAGAATGGTGATCTTATTGGGGGAGGGGTGGGTCCCACAGGTCAGGCTTGTCCTGCATCACATCCTATGCCTATGATTATGACTTGGGCATATCTAACACAGGTAAACACTTTCTGCTTTAAAGTTAAAGGTAGGGGCGCTAATTTTCTTTCCTGGCAATGGACCTTTCCCCTTATAACTAAAATTTCGATCTAGACAAAAATTTCATCACAGTTTGAAAGAGCATCACAAAATTAGTAATATTCCAAAGTTTTGTTGCAAAATCTTGTAAAATGCGGATAATATAGCCTTGCGAAGTTTGCCGTTTTTCAGTCATTTTGTATTACAAACGGGAAATTGACATCCGATTCGGGTGTTGGGGCTGCAATTTCCCGTTTGTAATCTAAAATGACTGAAAATTGCAAACTTCGCAAGGCTCTATGTTGCCCATTTTACAACATTTCGCAACGAAACTTTGGAATATTACTAATTTTGTGATGCTCTTTCAAGCTGTGATGAAATATTTGTCTACACTTGCCTAAATCAAAATTTTGGTTATAAGGGGAAAGGTCTATTGATTGCTGAATTGGACACAACTCAGACAGTGCCAAGTTGAAGTATTACTAGAACGAATTGCAGCTCAGGCTGCCACCAGACGACCAATGCCTGATCCCGTGTATAGCTAAGGTGGAGGAATAGTTTTTGGCGTGGGAAGAAAACTGGAGTACCCAGAGATTACAGAAGTATCTCGGATGCACAGCAGGAAACTAACCACAACTCTGCTTGTATGAGTTTTCAAGAACAGCTACAGGTGAAAACGAACAACCTGTCCCTGGTTGATATCTGCTGCACCCTCAGAACAAGTTGTCAACAATGTTGTTACAGCATTGTTCAGTTGTAACAGTTCCGTAACAACATTGTTGACAACTTGTTCTTAGGTTGCAGCACAACCGTGTTCAAGCTTGTCGATATCAACCGGGAACAGGTTGTTCGTTTTAACGCGTGTAGGAAGTTAATATCCAACCCTCTACCTACCTATTAGGCTTCATTTGGCAAGAAGTAGCGCGCTAACTACGTCTGTACTACATAATATATCATCTTCACTATAAGCTGCCGTGGTTTGTGTTTGAAATACCTGAAAAGAGTAATCAATCATAGTTCTGACTCAAATACAATATAGTTCTAACCCATACAATACTACCTACACTCGACCCTCGCGCTAATTAACCACATTAAAATCTCTAGGCCGCATACAGTTGTGGTGTTTATGACATAGCGAGGACTTCAGCGCAAGTTTTATGGAACTATTTTATACCTGATGAAAACACGTCTAGTGATAAACATCTTTCACTTCCTGATGGCCAGTTGACACTCAATGTTCATCGATGTGATGAGAAAAAGCTCACAGAAAGCAACCAATCCTTGGTTCGTCAGTTTGTACAAAGTGTGTTTATATCCGTGGATATTGCGGTCCAGGATGGAAAACTTTATTGCGATTCATTGTGTGATTACGGAGCATTATTACCTGGACAGGTAACGTGTAAAATGAATTAATAATTCATGAAAAAAATTCAAAAGAAATCAATGTTTAATGAGTTGTTGTATCGACATGTACAAAATTATTCTGATTTGCATAATATTTTCCCTCGATTTTCTCAGGTAAAATCACTTCTTTTGGATAATTTCTTAAAATACAAATGTTGAAATCGTTATACGTTTCACAAGCTGAAAACAGCATTCGTGTCGTGTTGTATCAGACATGCATCCTCTTGCCTTCGGCTATATCTGATACAAGACATACAACACGGTCGTATAATTTATATTACACTGATTTCTTACCTTTCGCCGTTTCGTACTTACAGTAGCTCTTTCTTTCTTTCCATTCCATACTTTCATTCCTTTTGTTTATTCTTCCTTTTAGCTTTCTTCCCTTCTGTTATAAATTCCTTTCTCCTCTTCTTCCATTCACCCGTCCCTACCTACACTTATTGCTTCTTGAAATGTTTATATGTTGTGGAAATGCCAACTGATTACACTCATGGCCTTTGCTGACAAATGTCAAGCGAAAAACAACCTACCTACCTGTTTTTTTTCCAAACTATGAAACTGGAACCACATGATATTTTTGTTAGGCCCAACCCTTGTTTGTTTTCGTCCATCCATCCTTCCCTTCTTCATTCGATTCTCCTTTTCTTCCCCTCAGTCCTATTTTCTCATTACCAATTCTCATTTCGTCCTAGATCCTGCGAATGCGGCAATGTGAAAAAATGTTACTTGTGCTTCAAATGTCGTTGTGGTTAAATGACAATAGCATGGTTTTACAATGTCTGACAAGATGTTATGGTTTAATCGCTCCTCTTTTACAACTCAAGATTCCTTCAAAACCTGTACTGCAGGTAATATTACAATTATCTATATCTCTGGACAAGCAGTATCGCAGAGTTCGCAGTAACATAGGAGCTTGATAAACTTAGCGGGATTCCACGATGCCATGCACCATGATTGGCACCGAGCGGGAAAATTCTGAGTCTAGAATTCTGAGTCTTTAATATTGTTTATTTTCTCCAGGTTCTGCTTCAGTGCTATGCAGTTATTCAGGAGATCCCTACGTTGAACCGCTTTCGCAAGAACTCCATGACCTACGACAGTTTGTATCATCTTATTGCAGCGACGACGCACTATTTAACTAAGGTCAGTACCTCTATCATCCAGGAATGTTCTTAGGAACATCCTCTCAAATTAAGGGCTAAATTAACTTTATTTACACAGTATAGCTTTATCATGAATACACAATAGTTGCCTCTTTTTCTAGAGGTCCAGTAAGGGCCATCCAGCATTACTATAGGAGGAAACCTAAAATAATGTTTTTGGATAGCTCCCTTGTTCTCCCTGGTGATCCGGTAAGGCCCATGTCACATGGGAAACCTAAACTCGCCTAATGTTAGTTATACTTGAGGAGTAGTCCCACTCCCACCAGCGAAGGTGTCTTGCAGCAGTAATATCTCCCCCCCCCCTCCTACCACTGAAGACTCTTGCATCGGTAGTATCTCCCCCCTCCTACCACTGAAGATCTCTTGCAGCAGTAGTATCTCTCCCACCAGTGGCGGTCTCTTGCATCAGTAGTATCTCCCCCTTCCTACCACTGAAGATCTCTTGCAGCAGCAGTATCTTCCCCCCTCCCACCTGTGAAGATCTCGTGCAGCTGTACTATCTCCCCCCCCCCTCCCTCCCACCAGTGGCGGTGTCTTGCAGTAGTAGTATCTCCCCCTTCCTACCACTGAAGATCTCGTGCAGCAGTACTATCTCCCCCCCC